ATCAATTTGTGAGTCATTTATTCACAATAAAGAATTTTTAATTATCATTTCAAGCATCTTCCACAAGCTTGCCATTATTGAAAATTCATTAGAACCTGGCAATGATCTTGTAAATGAATTACGCAACATTAGAATAGATTTTGCTCGGGTTTATTGGTTTAGACAATTATGTATAGCTAATGTTGATAATGTATATAATCATTTTGTCAAAGGTAATAAGAAATTGATTAATAATAAAGAAATTGAAAGACGAATGATTGACATCATACAATCAGGTCTTGGAAACTTTTCTTATGGTAAGAAGTTTTCAATATTATTTACTTTATGAATGTAATAACATATACACTCATACATTTTATTTTCAATTTTCAGACGGTATAAATGGTCACTCAAGCTCATTATGTTTTGCCAATTTACAAAAGATCTTTTCCACGGTAAATTTGTGGAATATCCAAAAGAGTCGTGTCGAATTTTATATGTGCATGGACAAGATAATGTTATTATCAGATGCTTCAAGCAGTGGATCTCTACGTTCTACAATTCTTCCCTATAACATAAAGGAATCGGATGAGGATTTAATTATGGAAGGAACTGAAGAAGAGATGGATAACATGAAAAGAGTAATTGAATACTTTTGGGAAAACTTAGTGTTGCACGGAAATAAAGATTGCCTTGTAATAAGCCATATAATACGAGGTATCCGGGAGGAAGTAGCTTCAGAGGTTTGTTTTATTTACTATATTCACTGAATGGATTGTAATATTTTACACTTATTTATGATCATTCGAATACTTAGCTTATGGAACGCGGACTTGCAGTTTTAGAAAGATGCGATGAGTTGATAGTAAGCATTGAGGAAGTGTTTCGAGCTTTATTACTTTCAATAGGGGACAATAAAAAGCTAGAATTCAGTAAGGCATTATTATCTCAAATACAGAGAATAGACGATGAAAATAAAAGTGATACTTACGTGACCTGGTGTGTATCATTTTGTTATATGGAAAAAAAGGAAAGATTGATATATTCTAAGTTTTTTTTTATCTATTATAGTGTTATGGCACGTATAAAACTATTTGTTTTGGTGGCAAATGTATTAGCTGCCCGCGTTACTGTAGCTGTCACGTCCAATAAACCCGATGTGGCAAAACAACAACCAGATTATAATCTTATAATGAAATGGATGATTGTATTAATCAAATTACTTTGTGACGAGCGAATTCATCAAAATGGTGGTGGGGCTAACAATTTTGACTTAGTCCTTGATATAGTGTCTTTCTTATTAGACGGTTTGTGTATATTTCGAATTTATTACTTAATACTTAAATTTTTCTAGTGGTTGATGATTTCTTAATATAATTATTTAGAAATGGGAAAAAACGCTAGGGCAATTATTGTTGCAGAATTGAAAGTAGGTCATTTTTTTTAAATATATTATTGATATGTAATTAATAATTATTCATTTCATATAAACTCCATTAAATTCATTTTTTTAAAAAATAAAACACCAACAGAGGTATCAATTCAACGTACCAGCAATATGGAGTAATAGGATAAAACGTGTACTTCCCTTAAAAATTCCTCAGGAAACGTTAGGTGAAAGAAAGCATCAACTTGATGCTTGGCAGTTAATTGAGGGGATTGGAGAAAATGATGATTTAAATAATTCGTCAATTGATTTATCTTGGTATGATGCTAAAGTTTATCCAAGGCCTAGTAAACGATTAAAGAGGATTGATGAATATGAAGATTATAATATAGATTTAAATAAGAAATATGAAGAAGAAGTAAATGGTTTGGAGACCAGTTTTTCTTCTTATGAATTATAAATTGCAGAGCATAAAAAAAAAAAAATTTGTAATTTGTAATTATATAGGATAGGATATTTGTAGATTATAATATTATATTTATTAGACAATTTTCTTAAAATATGGAAGACATACAAAACCGGAGGAGAAATATAATAATTTAATAACTTATTTATTAGATGTTAAAAGTAAATTAAAAACATTTGTTATCTACGTTATATTGCAATCAAGTAAATAGAATTTGGATTTTGGTAGTTTATTTTGAGGAATTCACTAGCGATGGGATGTAGCAAATTCAGATTTTGCCTTTTCTCTTAAAATTCTTCTTAAAATTTTACCAGATGCACTTTTTGGTATTTGATCAGTATAAATTATACCGCCTCTTAATTTTTTATGAGGAGCAACTTGATTGTCAACAAATTTTTTAATTTCTTCGGATAATTCGCTAGTTTGTTGGACATTTTGTTGAATTACAACGTAAGCAACTGGGTATTCAGTTTCCTCTTGTTCAGAATATACACCTATTACCGCGGCATCAGATATTAAATGATGTGAAAGTAAAATTGCTTCTAATTCTGCTGGTGCAATTTGAAATCCCTATAAATTGGATTTATATTTAATTTAATATTTTAT